TACACTACTCAATCTTCATGTTGTGAAAATTGCCAAGGCCACAGAGCAGTGCTAGGTCAGAGGGACCTGCTGCAGGTTTGGCCATGGAGGGAAGGGCTGGGGTTTGTGTTGATGCAGGTGGGTGGGCAGTGTCAATGTGGCCTCAGAAAATACCTCTAATGTGAAAATACTTGAAACCTCCATGTTTTATTTGTTAGTTTCTTCTCCCCTCAAACTTTTGCCTCTTTGTGAATTAACTAAATTGTAAGTGGGAGATTTGCTATCCATCCCAACAACTCAACATTATAGATTAGCCCAGGAAGGAGAATACAGAAGGAGCTGGTTTGCCTCTGCTCTGGCCCTTGATGCCATCTCATAGTGTAGATGAGTCCTGTGTAGAGAATCAGCATAAAATCAAGGTAAGAAACCCTTATTTGGTGTCTGTGCAAGTCTCAGGGACAAGGAAAAACCTATGGTACATTAAATCAGTGATATGCCCTGCTATTTTAACAAGAATTTTGGATACAGAGCAATCAATAAGTGCCAAATTCTGGCACAGTCCCTTGTGTCATGGAGCATGTTAGCCCACACGTGAGCTCCAGGACTGCAGTGGGATTATTCATTGGTAAGGTATTTTGGGAAGTAAAGATATTAGATCTGCCCACTGAGTGAGGAGTCTTAGAGAAATCCTGAGGCAGCTTGAGGGATAAAGTACTGCTCAATTAGCTCTGAGCATCTCTACATGCTGCAGCAATCTCCTGGAGGAGAGGCACAACAGGATCATTCAGTGGCACCTTCCTAACTTGCTAAAGGCCCCCTCAGCAAGTTCTCCCCTGCAGATGCTGATCAATATTCAGCTTTCAGTCCATGCAACCCTTCCAACATCAGCTTTTTCCTGTTCAGGGCTATAACCTGCAGCTGAATGCTGATACCTATTGATCATTTAATCCATAATTTCATGTCAGAGTCACCCTGGACTTCCTGGTTCCACTTTCAGTTCCACTTGAAAAGTGCACTTGGCTCCCCCAGCTTTGAGAAATGTGAGTTGAACTGGAGCCTCTTGGCCAGGGGCAGCAGGGAATTGCTGTGTGGGATCCTAAACCTCTGAAATAAAGCAAAGAGCCCCTGCTTCATTTAGGGCTAAGAAGAGAGATTTTCAAGCAGTGAGTTAAACAAGGACAGTTGTTCTAATGAGGAAAAACCATCGTGTCTGTTCAATAGCATCTCACCAACCTGTTCTAATCCACCTTTGATCCAACTGGGAAATTGATCTTTAATCTGTTCTGTGAGAATTTCTCTGAATTAATCCTTTCCCTCTTGAACGTCTCTCTCCAGTTTACCTTTACTGTCCATTTTCCGTTGAAATCTTCCTAACTGAACTCAAGTTCAGTGTTGGGGTTTCTTGTTCTTTCATAGCTGGATTCCTCATTCTCAGCTCCAGAGCCCAGGACAGACCCACTGCTGGCAAACTCTCCCCTGCCCCCGATCCCCCTGCTCAGTCTTTGCCCTCTTATTATTCTGTCATGCCAATTGTGCCACTAAAAAGCTTTTGTTCCTTTTATCACCACTACTAAAAATCTTGTTAATCTGCCAATCTGCCCAGAAATCTCTCTTCCAGTGATTTCCTCCTTGGCAGTTTCTGATTCATCCTTCTCTCTGTTCCTCTTTGCCTTCGCTTAGAGTGAAAAAATTTCATGAGACATTTCCAAACAATCAAAACAGCCTCAGTTACCCAGTGAAATGGAAAAATCAGAACAGAGCCGTCCCACTTTGCTGCAGTCCCAGCTCTCTCCTGCCAGTGAGCGTATTAATGAGATTTCAGTATCAATCAAGAGCCAAACAGAAACGAGCCCCATGCCCTGGATGCAGATTCTGAGAGCACTACCTGCAGATGGAACTCTGCTTCTGATCAACTCCCTCAGGATGCACCACCTTCCCTGAGGCAAGGGGAGGGAGAGCAGCACTGTGGTTCTGACCTGCCAGCTGAACTGAACAAAGGGTTCTGCTCCCACCCACTCTGCATTTTGAACCTGCACAGTCTAGCTCGACGCTCTGTGTGCACTGCAGATGAAACTCAGGGGCTTAAAGGGTAGCTGAGCAGTACAGAATAAAAACTAGACAAGGCCATCTTGTGTCTAGGACAAACAGCTGTCTGCCTGTCAAGTGCTGTGGGGAAGACATGGTTGCACATAGATTTGGCATGCAAGAATTGTAGCAATATATGTTTGTCATGGTTCTTTTTAATAACAAAGGAGTTACGATGTGTCAGGACCAGAATCGTGGCAGAAATTGCATCCTGCAGACCCGCTGCTTTCAAATAATCCTGCCATACACTGACACATCCCAAATGTCACCAAGCCATGTCAGAGATGAGCAGTACCACTAAGGCAGTGACAGCTTGCAGTCACTCAAAGTGCTGTAACTGCAGATTGTCAAAACATCAGTGAACGGTTTTGCCAAAGTGTGGAGATACTTTCAAACAGCTTTATACAGCTCTGTAAGACAGGATGGTAATGCAGGTCCTGGTAGAAGTGTGTGGCCTGTCTGGAATCCTACTCCATATTTCCAAACACATTTCCAAGGTACTGATCCTTTCTGGAGGTAAAGTGCATAAGTGAGGTTTATAAACTGTGATGTTGTTGAGATCATTACTAAACACAGACACAACAGGAGTTTTAAATGCTGAGCTTTGATATTATTCCTGTTCTGACAGTTCTGGCCTGATGCTGCACCAGATACCTGAAGAGATTAAGAGTGCCTTCAGTCCTGCATTTGGGAGCAGCTGAAGTCCATGGAATTTCCATGCAGCAGCTGAACAAGATCTTGCCCCTTCTATTGTTTCTGCCTGCAATTTGCTTATGTCTTCTGGCAGAAATTTAATTCCTTTATCTTGTCCCAGCTATAATCTTTCTGATGATGCCAGGAGAAGGATCTCCTTTGGAGAGATGCTGAATTTATTTTCAGAAAGGTTAAGGCATTTAAAATTTTCAGTTCCTTCACCTCCACAGGTATCTAGACACAGTCATTAAAAAGATATATTATGTCAATTAAATAGTAATCTTTGGAATTTTGTTTTTAGGGAAGAAATCTCCTATGAAAATTCTGTGGAGCTGCATTACTGTTGATAGATGAACACAGAATATTTTGCTCATTAATGTCACATTATACCTCACAGTATGGTGGAAATTTTGGCAAAGACATCTGTGTTGTTTCCTGTGCTGGAAAGATTTCTTATGGGTTTAATTTTATTTCTTAGCAGAAACATTAGTCTGTTTCTTCATTTCCTTTGTATGCACAGTGCAGCAGAGAGCAATTTAAATTAATGAAATCTGAAAGTGAGTCTTTTGCATAAATTGCTACTTCTGTAAATGTAACCTTCAAGAAGAAAACTGCACCAAAAAAAAAAAATTCTTGGAGAAAAGCATTGCATTAAATAAAAAGGAAAGTGTATTCTGAGGCCCAAAATAAGGATGTCTATGAATACTCTTACACTCACCATAGCCCAGGGGTGCATAATTGTTCATTATCAAATGAACAGCAAATGTTCATGGAGTTAAAGATGTTAACAATATCACATCCATTTTTAAATTGCCCTGTGCTCACTCTGTGACATATTGATTCTGTGCAAATGCAGCTCTTATTTTCCCAGTGTACACAGAAAAAAAAGATGCAAAAAACTGCGGCAGTCCCTCCAGTCAGGATTCCATCTTTACGATTCAACACAAAGGTCAGTGCTTCCACGTTCTTGCTTTTTTCTGCCTGAATTCTGAGATGCCAGCAATAATGAGGAACCCAGGCTTGGGGTGTACCAGTGCAATGTCCCTTCTCACTGTGGTGGGGAAAAGTGACACTTGGTTGTAATGGAGAACTTGGATTGAGCAAAAGGGAGGTATCAATAAAATATAAAGTAAAACAAAGGAACGAATACATTTTTCATAGTGCACATTCCTTTAGGAATAGCATCAAAGCGTTTTTCATTCAGATCTAGCATCCTGACACTGATTAACCTGGTGGAGGATGCAGGTGCAGTGTGTAAGGTGGTGCAATGTGTAACGTGGTGTTCTCCACATAAACATTGGAAAGGGAGGCCCAGCAGCAGGGCTGGTGTTGGATCTTCTCCAGGCTGTCCAGACAGTCTGAGCGCCCTATGTCTGGGAGATTCTTCAAACCTGGGGGAAGTTTGTGCAGGAGATTACGAGACAGACCCAGCACAGCAGCTCCTGGCGGTGCTGCAGTGCAGAAAAATGGAGCCCATCCCCTCCTGCCCAGGAGGGCAGCGCTGAAATCACCAGAGGGATTTATTTGCTGGAAAGGGCCAGCACAGGAATCTTTGAAGGAGCAGCCGATCCGTGTAACCATGGACAGCTTTGCAAAGGCTCCTCGGAGACCAGCTCCGTGCCCAGGGTCTGAGCTCAGCCCCACACAGGGGAGGGACCCCGGAGGGCTCCTGGCAACCCCTGCCCGCTGCCTCCAGCTGCCGAGCTGGAGACACCCGCCCTGGGGACAGGCTGGGGACATCCTGCCTGGGGACAGGCTGGGGACACCCGCCCTGGGAACGGGCTCGGGACACCCTCCCTGAGAACGGGCTCCGTTACCGAGCCCAGCTCGGAGCAGCCCCGGTTACCGAACTCACCGCGGGCTGAGCTGGGGACAGGGGAGAGGTGGGCATAGCTCAGGTAAGGCCTGAGGGGCTCAGCTGCCACAGGGATCTCTTCTCTATCATCTCAGATACTTTTATCTCTGAGTTTATTACAGAATATGCTGAGCTGGAAGGAGAATAATCAAGTTAAACTCTGAAGTGAATGGCCCGCCTTGGTAGAATTAGCACGGTGCTCTAACCAACTACAGCGCATCGAAAACACACCCAGCGTTTTCCTCATGCTTTTCCTGTGTCTGTTACTCGAAACCACAAGCTGTAACCCTTTCCAGACCGAGCCCACTTGTATTGCTACGCAGATCTCTTCTGGTTGCTAGGCTGCCAAAACGATACAATAACACTTGGTTTTGTTTTCCAGCAGGTCATGGCGGTTGCTCCAGATCTTCACCTGCATTATATGGAGGCCTGTCAAAATTTGAGCCAGCCTGAAAACCCCTTCATTGCTCGTGTGCTTCAAGAAGCTGATAAAAATGATGAAATGTAAGAAAATAACAAACGGGGTGTTTCAGATGCTTCTGAAAGCCTTAAACGGGGTAGCAGGATGAGGAATTGAAATATGACAAAGTTCATGCAGTTTCAGGCTTAAACACAAATCAAATTTAACATTTACTGCTGAAGTTCTGGTTTGACTCATCTTGACATCATCTTGGCAGAAGTTTGTAGCTATATATCCTTTCTGGGCAGCTTTACAAGCAGTGAAATCAAAAAAAGTGAAAAATGTACAGGAAGGTGCCTTTCTGTCCCCTAAAGAAGCCAAACCCTGTGTTTAGTCATCCTAACTCCCTTTTTTGTGTCTCACTCCTGTTTTAAAAGCCTCAGCTGCATTCAGTTACCTTCCAGCTGGTCATGCTTCCCTGAGTTGTCTCTGAATTCTGCCAAGTTATTAACCACCTAAATTCTCTCTCTTTAAGGGCCTGGGTACTGCTTCTTCTCATGGATGGTGCTGGGATCAAAGTTAATTGTCCTTTTTGGGGAAAAAGCTGAGAAAATTAAATTGTTTGTGTCACATTTTGATCCTGAGGGCAGGATAAAGTAAATAAAGGAAAGAGGGCAAGTAAAAAGAAGATGATGAGGTAACCTCTGAGATAATCTTTATTTCCATCTCCTTCCCCTCATCTTGGTTATTCCTGCTTTCAGTGCTGAGCAGTGCCTTCAGCAAGGGCAGTGCTGAGGCACTGCCTGGATCACATCACCTGAGGTGGTGTTCCCACAGCAGAGGCAGCAGATAACCCTGTGCAAGAGTTCCAGGGAGGGCAGGCATGGGCACACCTCTGATCTGGAGAGAGAATTCATTTCTCTCTATCATTTTACTTCTCCTCATATTCTTGCATTTTTGTGTTATTGCAGAAGTACAAAAGGAATCACATTAAAATTAGCTGGAAATAATCATCTGGTGCCTGTGCCAAGAGTTACAGATAATGATCTTGCAGTTCTTGTCTCTGTCCTAGGCCAAGCTCCCTTTGTCACAGGTAAGGTTCTTCCCTGTGTGTTTGACATTGCTGTGCTAATACAAGAAAACAAGATCAGTCTTGATTTCAGCCTTAGTTCATCTTTGTTTCTTTTTGTTCAGAGATCAGTTCAATGCAGATATGGATCTGTGACGTTCCTTATTCTTCATCTTTTTCAGGTTTGGATCTTGCCTATAATTTATTGACTGATGTTGGAGCAGAGATCATGGCAATATTCCTCCAGGTGCCAAGAGATGTTTATCTTTCAGCAACTTGTAATTTATTTGTCTATAGTAATATTTATAGTGGGGACAAGAATTAGCTGGTTTGGCAAAATTCTAATAACTTTGACTATCACTAGAACCTCAGATTGTATTCTCTGTGGAGATTTTTAATTTCTGGTAGAAGGCTCACAGTTCAGTTCAACAAAGAGGGTAATGGTTGTGCCAGTGCCCTTGTTTCAGCTATTTTATAATCTCTCTTAGCCTTTTTATAGACCTAAACTTAGGGAATTTTAATGCAGCCTTTTTGTCACAGTAAACACTGGGATACAGGTGGAAAACAGTGAGTTGTCATCTGTGCCTGTGTTCCTAGAATTTGAGGGGCACTGTTAGGTTCACAAAATGCCTGAATTTGTGCATCTGAGCTTGGCCGCCTGCTTCATGCACAGGGTTCCTGGGTGGCTCCTCAGGCCCCATGACAGGTTTTATGCCTTGCCCTCATCACCTGACATAATTTGGGATTCTTTAACTACTTCTCCAACTCATGAACAGCCTGAAATGCTGCAAAGGGCAGAGTTTTGTATGTGTATCTCCTTTTTGGAAAATACAGCTGTGTTTTGGGAAAAACACCCTCTCATTCCTTCCTGCTTTCTTTGCTCCCAAGGAAAACACCACTCTGCAGTATCTGAACCTGATGTTCAATGACATTGGCACAAGTGGGGCAGAGCTGATAGCAGGAGCACTCCATGTGAGTATTTGCCTGGGAGATTTAGGCAATGGCATCTCCTTTAATCTTTTTGCTTTTGATGACCAGTACTGGCTGTGCTGCCAACATCAGAGCTGGCTGAAAGGAGCCTCTGTCTTTGCTCCATTCAGCATGTTGCTGTGTCACAGGGATTGCCTGGTTTCCCAAGGCACACTACAGAAATCAGATTTCACACAAGAGAAAGTTGCACTGTGCTGCCATTAACAATTCATTATCTAGAAAAAGACATAATTGTCTATAAAAAGCACAACTATTGCAGCTGGGTTTTTCTGTGTGAAAAATGCTATGCTACAGGATATATAATGCCATCATTTTTCCTTTTTTCCTCCAAAAATTAAATTAAATTAGCCTGTACTTTGACATCAATATTTGTCTTGATTCAAGATGTCTGAGACATGTTTTCAAAACTTTGCCTTACAGCAGTACCACAAACCCGAGTTTGTTATTTTTAATGTGGTTTCCCAAGGAAATGAGGCTTGTGTGGAAGATTTGTTGTGTTTGTGAAAGGAGGCTCACATGAGCTCTTTCTTCCTCCTTCACAGTCTTTGAACCCTGAACTGATTTCAACTCAATTTGACAGGCTTCCAAAACACTGAGGCTGTGCAGTAGATGTACAATGCTGGGCTCATAAAAGGCTTACCAGATTTAAATTAGTATTAAGGCAATTTGCATTTCAGATGCCAATTTAGGAAGAAATATTTGCCTGGATTATTTTCATGAGTGTGATGAAATTCATGAATTTGGGAGAAACAGAAGTTTTCAAATAGAAGGGTTTTGCTTGCAGGCTCTCATATTTGGTGCTCCTGAGGGGAGCCTAAGCCAAGAGCTGAGCCAGGGTTATCACTTGGACACAATTCTTCTGGAAGTTTGTTTTGTCTCTGTGTGATAACCAGCAGAATTCACATTAAAAAACAGGACAGAGTGGTTTTGCAGGCCATCTTAAAGGAATATATATATTTTTTTAATTTTGTCTAGAACAATCAAAGTCTTGTGCACCTGAGAATGACAGGAAACAAAATAGGAAACCAAGGTGGGATGTTTTTTGCTTCAATGCTAGAAATTAACTCAACCTTAAAAAAGTTGGATATTGGAGACTGTGATGTGGTGAGTAACCCAGTAAAATTATCAGCAATAAGACATAAATCTTTCAAGGGTATTACAAGGGTCCTGCAGTGCTTAATTAGGGGGAAATGCCATCTGTTGTCATTGATTTTGTGACAGCCAGAGGTAACAGAATATACAATATTGCAATGTGTGCTGGGAAAGGCACATTGCATAAAGCACCTGTGAAGTCAGAACTGGGGATGTTTTAGAGCCACTGTGTCTCTCTAGGAATTCAAGTGCTTGGCTTGCACATTTTCTGAGGTTTTTTTCTGCTGCTACTTTCTGTTGAGCTAAGTCCTGTATAATTCATTTTGAAGAATGGACTTCTCATTCCCTGGAGAATCTCTTCCTTCCAAAGTGAGCAGTGCTGCAACCCCTGAAAGTCACTCATCCCATAGCTCTGCTGCTCCTCTCAGAGCTTGCCCATAAAGGACATAAGCACAGCAGAGCGGAATTGTGTAGAAAAGCACCCAATTTACTCTTGGACAATGTGGTTCCTCCTGGAGCTGGGCACTGACACTTCCTATACTGTGCGCAGGGAGACTGAGGAGGTTGTGGATTGCTTTTAAAAGCCTGCATTTGTCTCCTGGAAATTCAGGATTTGCTTCTGAGCCAGAAGGGGGAATAGCCCTCAGAAAGTGTGAAGGTGTTATGAATACAGGAAAAAGGGAAGTGTAGGCAGTGTAGGATTTATTCAAAAGCTTGGTAGGGAATTGATAGAGCTGGTTTGAAATGAGAGTACAGCCCAGCCTACTTGAAAAGTAGCATAAACATAAAATGGAGGGCAAAGTAGAAGGACATTAAAAACAAAATCTAAATTTGCCCAATTCATACTAAATATGAATTTACCTGGTGGATAAATATTAGGGTAACACACATAAGCTGATTTTGCTTCATAAGTCAGGGAAATCAAAATATGGGATCAATTGAATGGACAAGTATTTTTCAGATCCCTTATTCTTGGTTTTCATTCTCTGAGTTGCTGAGTCATTTGTGCTGCTTAGTCTAATTTCAGTCTGCTATTCCATAGGCAGTTGGCATTGGTATTATCAGAAAATCTGTTATATGTCTGTAAGCAGTTGCCTGCAGTAGTCCCATCTCTCTACCTCCAGAGTAGATGAAGGCAGATATAATAGCAATGGCAATTTGGTAGCTTGATCTATACACTGAAAATATTTCTCTAAAGAATTTATTTTCATTTCCAGGGCCTGCGGTGTCTGATAGCAACAGCCATAGCCCTGACTCAGAACAAATCACTCAAAGCCATAAACCTCAATCGTCCTTTGCTGTCCACCCAACAGGTGTGTGAGTGACTGTGGAGTCAGCTCAGACAGAGGGGCATTAGTCAAGTCAGTACTGATGTATTTATGGACATTTTTTCTGAACTAAACAGGACAATTTTGAACAAACTTCCTTTGACTTAGACTGACAGGACATATTTTTTTCCATAGAAGTCCTGTTTCTTTTGCATACAATCAACAGAACCTTGAAGGTTGGAAAAGATCTCCAAGATCAAGTAAAAACTGTGACCAATTCATTCTTGTATTAAATAATTACCATCATTACAAAATAATTTTACATGTTAGCAAAGATTGACTCAGTCTTTTAAGAGGAATAGCAGAGAGGGAAACTGATTAGACATAATTAAATGTTGATGCTTCACTGATATTTGCAGGGATGTAGACAGTAAAACTGCAAATATCTCTATAGTATTTTTCTTTTTTTAAAATTTTATTTTTTAACTTTATCATAATGTGTTGTTTTGTGGTTATTTTTATACAATATACAGAATAGAATGATCAACACTGCTGATGACCAGATCTTGCAGTTAGTTGCATAACTCCCTGTTACTGAGGCACAACTGTATCTTTCCCTAAAGTCCAGATTAATAAAATTGGGTGTGTGTTTCTAGGAAGAGACCACAGTTCATATAGCTCTGATGCTGAGGAGTAATTCTTCTCTTGTGGAACTACATTTGGGCAAGCATGAAATGAAAAACTTTGGTGTGGAGCGACTGTGTGATGCCCTGTATGAAAACTCCACCCTGAGATACCTTGACCTTAGCTGGTGAGAGTGATTAAATGTAGCACATTAGAAACTCATTTTCTTAGCAACTTGGAAAAAAAAAATTAAAACATGCATCTCACTTTCAGTAATAACATCATCTGTGATGGTGCTAAATTTTTGGGAGAGCTACTAAAAAAGAACCATACCCTGGAGATCCTGGATCTTGATGCAAACCGAATAGAGGATGCTGGAATCATTTACCTGAGTGAGACCTTGGCCATGCGGAACAGGACTCTGAAGGCGTAAGTACTGGCACAGCTCCCCCAGAGACTGCAGGTGAGAAACCTGCACTCTGCACTGCCTGAAATGCATCACAGCTCTGCGTCTTCATCTTGATCAAAATAGGAAAGTCAGGAAGTTCCAAATGTTTTAGACAATTTTTCCTTCTTGGGGAAAAAAAGCCTGTGAGTGACTGGGTGGGATTTCTTTACTAAGCATTGTCTCTGCTGCCGTTTGAGCTGCTCCAAGAGCTGTGAGACAGCCTGGGGTGCTGGAGGTGAGCCCCAGGTGTGCTCAGAGCTCTCACAGCTTTCACAGTCACTCTGAGCGGGTGAGGCCATTGATCTGCTCATTCTTTCTGCGTCTTTGAAGCACAGGTCCCTGTGGTGCGCAAACGAAAACAAGAGCTGCAGGCCTTCAGAATTTTGAGATAATCAGATCCCACGCTGGGATAAGGCACTATATTTGTTGGTTCTGATCTTCCAACACTTAAGAAAATCCTCTGTTTAAGTTCGCTTCCGGGTGAACCCAGAAGAGCTGTAATCTCTCCATCAGGGTGTCTTTTGCAGCCGCGTTAAACCCCTGCCCGCAGGACATAAAAGCTGATCAAAGGTGTTACCTGAAGCCATTAGTTTTAAGTAGCAGACTGAGGAGGTGGCGGCTGCGAGGTGCCTCTGAAAGCCTCGCAGGTTCGCTAATATAAAAATAACTGCCACTCCACAAAGATCAAAGCTTAGCCTGGATAAATGCCAAGGTCTGGGCTTCAAAGCAGACTAGAGATGAGACCTGGCCACCATGCAGCAAAGTCACTGACACTGAAGAACTCAGTAGTGAACAACCTGGCTGCAAGAGTCAGGAAAGTGCTTTGAGAAAGTCTAGAGGCCAGCTGCCTTTGGCAACCTGAAAAGGATATTCGAGTAGGACTGGCTTTTACATAAATAAATTATTATATTATAAATAAAATTTCTCTATATATATTATATATAACAATAAGACTAATTCATGGTTAAATTCTTATTTTTAACCCAGATATGGGAATTCTATGGTTTGGCACACATTTTCTCTGTTTTCTAGGTTGTCCGTTGTAAGCAACAATATAACTGGCAGAGGACTTGTAGCTCTTGCACAGGCAATGCATTCCAACATGACACTTTCCCATATTTACATCTGGGGGAACAAAATTGACAGAAGCACCTGTGCAGTAAGTGTTTGGCTCTGAACTCACCTGAGAAGGCTGGGGTTCAATTGTTCTAATTTGTCCTTCTATTGTTGGGAAGAGTCCAGCAATTAGTGAACAAGACACTTGATTTATCTGGGCCTTTTAATGTGGTTACAATATGGTGGTGCTGGGACGAGCCTCCCCGGAGATCAGCACTCTGGAAGGACGAAGCGCCATGTGAGAGCCTTCACCGCAGTCCAAAGGGAGCACCGCTTGTTAAATCCCCGCTTTCCTTCCCTCCAGGCATTCGCGGAGCTGCTGGCGGTGGAGCGCCTGCACCCGGACTGCACGGACGTGGCTCCCTACAAGGTGGACGGGGAGATTTTCCTGGCAGAGCTGTCCCACGGGCTGGCCAAGCACCGCTACTGGAGCCCGCGCTGCGCCGCCGTGGCCCCCGGCGCCGCCAACGCCAGCCTGGAAATCGTCCCTGTCTCGGAGTATTTGTGAGGATCCTGCACCCCAGAACCCTCCCCGAGCCTGAGCTTTCCCTACCTGGTTTCTAGTAAAATAGGTTGTTATATCAGTATCACACTTGCTGCACGTTGTTTCTTTGCGGGTTGAGTCTTGGAGGAATCTACACCTGCTTGAAATGGCAACAGAGAGAAAGTATCCAAGAAATGACCTCAAAATTTGTTACTAAGTCATGCTCAATCTATTAAACGTCTGTAACTATGAAAAGGTTCGTACCCAGGCAGAGCAGACTGACAAAAGCAACACCCAGGACTGCTGCTGGGCAGCAGATCAGGTATCCTGCAGAGTCAGAGTCCTGCTGAAGCTGAGAGCTTTGGGTAAATCCATTTGTTAGCACTGCTCTCCATGAACTCTTCCTAAGCAATTGCATCCTTTTGGTCTTCCAGTAGTGACTTTTTTTAAACCAAGGTAAGTGAACTTAAGCATTAAGCCACAGCCATGCTAGAACTTAAAGCTGGGGAATCCAGTTTGCTGGGATATACATGGAATTTTGATTAAATTGGAGCACGTACTTGTTTCTTATACAACAAATAGAAACCACCACCAAATCTGATGCCATAATTTCTTCTCATCTCATGAAAACTGCCTAAACAGTTGTATCATTATAGCCCTGTGACAATTCCTACACATGAGTAAGACAACACATGCATGTAATGGTAAACATTGTGTAATGGCTTGGACAGACTTCATGCAAGCTTGGGAATCACTCTGCTGGTTTCCTTTTTCCATTCACTCTGCTCATTCCTGTAGAAGTGACTTAATTTATGTTCCTAAACAGAAAAATTCACCAAACACGACAGCAGAGGTTTGCTCCAAGCCTTTCATGAATGCAATTCTCTGCCCCTCTAAATGTGCCTGTTAAATATTGGCATAAAGTACCAGAATGATCTGTGAGTGTAGGTACAAGAGCAAAGCAAGAGGGGAAAAATGTAAGAAAGTAATTTCAGTAGAAATAGCTGGGAAGCAGCAGTGTAACTGCTGCTGTGTTTTCTCTGCATTATCACTGTGGTAGTGTAGGAACAGGAGACATTTGGACACCTCTTCCCCAGCTGAAATGACCAGGGCAGTTGTGAGAGCTGGTGTAGGTGGAGGTTTGTTGTTGTTTGGTTGGTTTGTTGGTTGTTTTTTTTTTTTTTCATTGCCCCTACCCCCAAACACAAACTACTCAGGTTCTTGCTCCAAGAGCCCCTGGTATCCTCAGGGATAAGCCCAGAGCAGGAATGTTTGTTCTGCACACCTGCACAGAGCCCTCCCAGCCTGCAGCACAAAGTCCATACATCACCCAGCTCTAGAGAGGAGCTGGTATTTTAACTCTTGTTCAGCAGGAAGGATGCAGCAACAAGAACTAAAGTTGGGGATACACCAAACATGGTGGTTTGAGAAGAATCTGCTATGAGATTTTTCCTAAATTCCTAAAATAATTCCAAATTCCTGAATTTTGAAATAATTAGATAAGCCTGTGTTGGTTCCTTTCTGTGTGCTGCTGCTCTGGATCATTGCAGGTGACACTCTGATAGTGTCACCACTGACACACTGGTGACAGGATTTCTTGCTAAAAACACCACTACAAGACTCAGGTATTTTTTTCTATGTATCTTTCTTTCCCTTGTCAGGTATATGAAGCTCAGTCCAATTTCACTGCTCAAATTAAGTCTTAATTTACTTGTATAAATGACATCTGTTAATCTGAGGTGGTAACAGGTACCCAACTCAATCAACAGCAGTATTTTGTCTTTAATGATGTGATAAGATGGCAACAATATCACAGTCAAAATACATCAGGTAAAATGGCATCTGAAAGTGCTGGTGTATGTGTTTGAAGTATTTGCACTCTATCTGAACCCTTGTTTAAGAGCAGCTTGTTCAGCCCATAAAGCCCTCTTCATTACTGACAATATCCATGAAAACAGCTCATGTGTTACAGTTTTCTTTGATATTCTTTTGTAAGAAAGGGCTGCAGAGTAATTCCTACCAAATTCTGTATAAACAGCTTCCTACATACTAAAACAATTACTTGTGCAAGACCCTGTATTGCTTAAAGAAGCCCAAGCCAGAGACTTTTATTTCTTCCTTCCTCTGACCTTGAAATTCTTAGAAGATGTATCTTATGTTCTTTGGAATGAGAGAATTTACATGGGCTAGATTCTTTTTGCCATGTTCTTCTGAGTAATTCAAAGGCTAAAGCAAGCATAATCCTGCTCTGAAAACCATTTTTTCAGCTTCTAGACCTCACTGTAACTTGCTGAAAGGCAGCATTTCCCCCCAGTTTTAGAGGGGAGGCAAATGAAGGCAAGTGACTGATCCAGCAGGGCAGGGGTGCAGCAGAGGTCCCCCAAATTCTAATGTGGGCTCCAGGGTCCTCGTGCCAGGGTGGTGACAGGGATTGTGTCTGACTGGTTCCCTCCTGCTTTTGTTGCTACCCTTTGCAGTTATAAACAGGAAACACAAGGTGAGGGAAAATTATAAAACAAGTTTATTAAAGTCTAACATAAAACACTTCAGGCTAAATATGTACAACTCCCTCCCTTCCCAGGGAATTATAAAATTGAGAGTTGAGGTATATACAAATAACAGAGGAAAAATTGTATATACATGGCAGATACTTTAAAAATAATTTAACCAAAAAAATCAGTTATTAGTCCTTGTCTGAACTTAGCTCTGCAAGGTTTATTGAGCCTCTCTGGGATCACAGCCCTGAAATCCTTCATGTGGGACTTGTCTGTACTTGAAAATTGTTTTCTAGCACATGATTTCAAAAAGTTTGTCATTTGTGCCCACTTAGAGGCACTAACTTAGAAGTAGATGTCATATAAGGAGCTATTCTCCCCTAAGTACTTCCAAACAGTCAATTTAGAGACTTAGAGATGCAGATAAGCTATTCAGGCAAAACTTGCACCAACTTCAGTGCAAAATTGACTGAAACAGCAGTGTGACAAAACATGTCATTCTTTGTATTACTCTTCATAGAATTATTGAAGTTCCTTCTTTTCTTTTGCAAGGACACATGCCTAAAAAGATTCCATGCTCTCCCATATTAATCCCTTACAGAAATTACCAATACTGTTATAAGCCTTGTACTTCAAAATGAACCCAGAACCCTTAAGCCTAGGACTTACATGTGCAGCTGATTTCCATGCATCTATTGGCAAAAGGTACAGGTGTAGGTTCAGACCTACAGCCCGAACACACCTACAAATATATATATATATATATTTATATATATTTATTTATTTAAAATCTATATTCTAATAAATGAATACAGTTGGTAGAGATCATACCTCAGCAGCTGAGATATCTTCATGAAAGATGAGGATAAAAATCAAGATTTTCAGATGGGGACTCAAGAGTGCAGGTCACTAAATTATTGCTCCAAGACAAAACTACAAGCCTGTGTATTCTATTAAGAAAGGTTAAAATTGTTGTCTTGTAAAAAATAATGAATATCTTCTTGTCTATAAAGAAAACTAAATGACTAATAAAGTAACTGTTACTGTTTTAAGTATCTAAACAAATCCTGTATAAATCTAAGCACTGTATTTTTTAAAAAAGTCTGAAATCTAAGAATACAGTAATAAGCTATAATTTCAGAAATATAAAACCAGTCCAAACAAACGCTGTTATGGAATGCATTTTCTATGTAGGAATGTAGTTATTGTTTAGGTTTCTCTCCTGAGCTATTCTCTCTCCTGGTCATTTCTCCTGGATGTTTATCCTGAGCTGCTTTTCCTCAGGTACCAGCAGCATATCATTAATTTGTCTTCCAAAGCTGTTTAAATATGCAAGTTATCAGTTGTACAGCATTTACTTTCTCAGTTTTCATGACTAAACCTACATCTATGCCAAGATTTCTGCTCTACTTTCAGAGAGAGACAGCAAGGAGGAAGCTTAGCACAAGTTACACACGGTCAAGATCCCAATTTTGTGGTTCTTCAGTCTTAAAAGGCTGAGGAATCCCTCAGGGGCTACACCAACAACAGAACTGAAAGAGACAAGAGGAGAGACAAAGGGAAATGCCAAAAATAAAACATCAGAGAACTTTATCCTTTGTCTTTTGCCAGCATTATGAACATCAGCTGTTCATAAGCTCTGTGGGACAGACAAGCAGGGAAATTAAAGGCCCTGCAATAACGATCTCCAATGGGGACAGAGTGAGAGACTCCTGCATTAGGGATGTTCCTGTTGAACATGGCTGTACTCCTGCTGCCCATGGTAGGCTTCATCAGCAAATCTACCATCTATTAAAGCATAAAATGTGACCAAGCAGCAGGTTATGGCCATGCCCCATACTAGAATGATCAACACAAAGCAGCAAAAGTTTGTATTTTACAAATACAGACATGGAGGAAGAGAAAAAAAATTACAGTCACACTCAGGAGTCAAGGGACAATTTTCAGACTCTTTAAATGAAATCCTTCAAGAAATTTTTCACAAGTCTGTTTAGTTAAGGTGCAGATTAATTATTACTCCACGTAGAATGGAATCAGTTAAGAGGTATCTTCTACGCTCTTCTATTTCTCAGCATCTGGACAAAGGCATCGGTAGAAATAAATGCTAGCACCAAGTAAAGAGCCAACAAAGGACAGCTTGAAATGCATTGTTGGTACAGTATCATGACTGTTTCATTACTGTTTGATGATTACATAAATAATGCTTACAACTGTTAGTGGCACAAACTGGCAAAATGAAGTAGAAAAGTACTTCTACTGTCACCTAGTCTTTTATGACCCTACCAAGACATTAAAATGTTGCTTTTTAAATATGTCTGTTGCTAGTAATAAAGCCTGTCTTTACCTGGGCCTTTCTAGGTACCAGTTTTGTGCAGTTACTGTGGGCAAGTGACATGAGAGGTAAAGCAATACAAAAACCTTTAATTAAAAAAAATCAGTCAAAGTCTAACAAAATCTTTCCTGGAAGAATATCAGTCTGCTCTGTTGTATTATTCTTCAATGCCTCCTCATGTAGTGTTCACTTATTATTTTCACAGTGAAGGGCGGGATTTATCTCCTCCTTTGTACCTCCTGTCTAGCACAAGAAGCAGCACTACAGCAAAAAAAAAAAGGATTATCAGCCTCTGATTCATGCCTCACTAATGAACTCACTGCATCTTTTCACCTCATCTACATCATGCATGTCCCAGTTCTCCTTTTGTTGCTATTTGTGCCAAACCCACAGTGTTTTAAGGATGTGAAAAATAAATCTGGGACAAGATACAACAATGTTGGATTCACTTCAAACAAACAAACAAACAAAGGCAATTTGTTGGAAAGAAGACCCAGGAGTATCCATGCCATCAGGACCCTCCCACTCGCCACACTTCAGACAAAAATTAACCCTCCTTTATTTTTCTTGTCAGGAAAATAACACCCAAACCTTTCCTTCTGGTCAGGCTCCACCTGAAGATGGCACTTCTGGCAGCCAGCAGCAAATCTTTGCAAGCACTTCAGCAGAGCACTGCCCTGTCTTCACCATGCACCATTCTAGCACCTTGCAGTTCAAGCTTACTAATACATCCAAATTATGATTTCTCCCTACAGCTCTGGGTTAATCTTCCTAAACTATCAACTATGGCTTAAAATATCCGTTCTCAAATGACACTGTGACACATCAAATCAGCAGGAATATGGGAAGAGAACTCCAAAGTACATTAACATATGTAACAGAATTCTTAAGGCAGGTGTGTTGCCAGAATCATCTCCTGGAAATCAGCGTTAATCACAAATAGAAATGTGATTGTAGATTAGCACAATCCAGCACTGCACAATGGAAATGCCTTACAGGTGTCTTTACACAGAGGAAAACAAAGAACATGTCCAATTCAGAGAGCATGACTGGTTGTTTGTGTTCATCTTACCAAACATTTCCAAGTTCACTACCAAACTACCTGGATGGCTCTGCACTGCTCTGTCAGTACAACTGCTGCAGGAAAATGAACTGAGGTTCTGAATATCCTGTCACAGCAGATCTCAGTAAAGTTTCTGATGAAGGGGACTGGCTCCCTGTCACGGGGAGCAGCATCTGATGGTCTTCAGTCCCAATGGGGAGAGGAAGTGCTAAAGACATCTCAGAGGGTTTCACATCTATGGACTCTGATAAAGGACTTTTCTGACTCTGAATGGATTCTTGTTCGTTGAAAGAATTATCAAGTGCAGCAGAATCAGGAGAAGTTTCAGGTCCTGTGGAAACAACAACAACAACAAAAAACCAAACAAAAACAAACAAACAAACAAAAACAGAAAGAAATGTTCAAATGCTTGTGCAGAGATTCTGTGAATTCCCTTTCCAATGTATGTCAGAGCCAACACCTGGTGTGTCACAGGCTGCCTGGGCAGCTGGGACATTGGTGCTTCCATGTGCTGCCAAGCCAGGCCAGCTGTAAGTACAGTGTAAGCACTGGGAATCACATCTGCTGCTGCCTGTAGTGTGACAACTGAAGGATGATGCATTCCAACCTGATCTCTACTTGGCATGATACAGAAGATAACAAATCCTTAACATCACAGTGAACAAAGTATCTTTGGAAAAAATGTAATCGTGGAAGTTTCCTTGAGATTTCCACCACCAAGAAAGTCTCAGAAGCAGAGCCACATCCAAGCATTTTCCTTTAACTGAAACAGCAGTGTACAAAGTATCATTTGTCTGTAAGCTTCTTTGGAAGACAACGTTTCTTAACTCCATGCCAGCTGGATACATTACAGATTTTATCCAGTCACTTAAAAAATTACCTTCTACTCCTAATTGAAACCCCTTTAGTAGGTTCCTTGCTGCTTTTCTGCTGGAATGCAGCCAGCCACTGCTCCTGGATGGCTCTGTGACTAAGCCACATCAGATATCTGACCCTTCCTCTGCCAAAGCATGCTCCAAAGTCTGGTATTCCAGGGCTGAGGCACTCCTGGCTGCCTGCTGTCTCTCTACAGGAGCCGGCCTGCCTTGGCAGCTCTCCCAGATCCCCCCTCCAGCTCTGCCAGGCCCTCTCCACACTCAGTGCTGCCCTGCCCTCAGCACTGGCTTCCTGCTGCACTGAGGCTTTCCTAAATTCACGCTGTCTCTGCACATGGATCATTTTCTCACCCTCTCCCTCCCAGTCCAGATGTACACAGACACCATTTATTCCCCCTTCCATATGACACAGACAAGGTATTTATGGTCAAACCACAAGGATGGACAGAGAACAAGGAGTGTGGAGCCAGGGCTGAACAAGGCTGGATGCTTTTGGCCCTAAAAACAACTACTAACCAAAACTCCTTTGTTTTCCAATTTTAGCCCTGGATGAGCAAAAATATTTATTCCACATGGAAGGAAAAAGAGCTGATGTGGTTTTCTTAACCTTTCTTTGCACAAGGAACTCACCTGTGTGAACTTTTGTTTTGTGCTTCTTAAGATTTTTTATGTCTGTGTAGGAATTTCCACACATTTCACAGATAAATGGTCTTTCACCTGAAAAAAATTGGTTTGGCAGTGAGAACAATCTTGATGTTGAAAAAAAATTAAGTTAGAGATACAGGGCAACAGATTTTAATGTTCTACTTTGAAATACAACTTTGTAACTCTTATTTTGTTTGTGTCTCTATTAAATTGAAGTTATTTCCAGAATAATAGTTTAAAACAAAGCAAGAGGACACAAACATTTCAAGTAAAGCCTCGACCATACATCAACACCTACGCTGTGGTACAAATACTACTCTGAAGGCAATTAAAAAATGAATGAATATTTTCTTTACATTATGTTAACCCAGAGATACATAAATTAAGAAGCTGTTCAAGTACAGACCAATACAGTGTATTTTAAAGGCAAAAGTGTAAAAGTGGATTATAATTTATGGTGCAGGAAGCAGCTTGTCTGAAAACTGACCTGTATGGGACCGAAAATGTTTATTGAGCTCTCCAGAGGAAATAAAACTCTTTTCACAAATGCCACAGATATATGGCTTCTCTCCTAAAGGAAACACAAGCACATTGTTATTTCAATGCTGTCATGGTTTGACCCCCCATGTTCTCAGAGGCGTATCCATGTCTTCAGTGGCTACATCAGGTGCCAATATTCAAATCTGAGCACTGATTAGTTTGACCACAACCTCCCAAAAAACTCACTTCCTTATCAACCTAGCACAAACACATAAACCAGAATACACATCAAGAACAAAACGAAACGAAACAGAGATAATATCCAACGGGACAAAAACTGGAATCAGAGGAAAAACAACACGAGGAAGGAGCTGGATGACAACGCCAAGGGGGATTTGTGGCTCGTGCCCCTCCCCAGCAGCCCGTGGTACCTGTGTGTTTGCGGGAGTGGGTGATGAGCGAGCTGGACACGGCGAAGGCTTTGCCGCAGCTGTCGCACACGTAGGGCTTCTCGCCGGTGTGGCGCCGCACGTGGTACGTCAGCGTGCTGGCCTGCGCAAAGCGCTGCCCGCAGCGGTCACACACGTACGGCTTCTCCCCGCTGTGCTTCCTGCAACGACACGGCCCCGAGTCAAAATGTGGCAGTGACAGCGGTGGGTGCTGCTGCCTGTCCCCAGCAAGCCTCTGCTGTGGAAAGGCTGAGTTAACATTCAGGCAATGCAGTCATGTCCCGTTCCTCGGCTGTTTTTAATGGCCTGGAAAGGCTTGGGATGGCCTTGGGGCAGCCCGCGCTCCAAAGGACGAAAGGAGTCTTCAGGTTTTTCAGTTCTTCAGTGTTGTTTATTAATTCTTATCTACAATATTTTCTCCCGGCCCCACAGCGGTCCGCACAGCACGTCAGCCATGAGCACACTGACTGCCCTCGGGGCGGTCACTTATCTTTATACCAAAAACTATGTATAAGATATTTACCTTTTCTCCCCAATACCTTTCACCCTTATTGACAAGTGCACATTCAGTAAGAACCAATCTCAAAGTGCCACCATCACCACTGAAGATGGATGAACAGAAGGACAGGACACGCCCTAATTCCTCCATCTTGTCCCTTTAGAACCCCCCTGTACCGAAATTCTAAAACCTGTGTTTCACACTATAATTAATCTATCCCTTCACCATTTATCCCCGTGTGATCCTCCCATCCTCATACAGGTGTTGTTTCCTGTGCAGGATCAAAGTCCAACCACCAAACACTTCTGGCAACGTTCCAGGACCTCCGAGCCCCGCAAGGGTGGTCTCGGTGACTCTGCACATCAGGACTGCTGTGCTGAGATCCCACACAGTCAAACCTCACTCAACACTCACTGCAGCTGGCTCAGCAACAGAGGCAAGAAAGGCTCTTTTGCAAGGTTTAATTCCAGTAGGGTAACACTGTCACTGAAGGACAAACCCAGAGCAATAGGAAAACCCCATGGAGCAGGCAGCTTATAAGGGGGGAGCAGGGCTAAGGGGTGGGCAGAGGGACCTGATCTCCAGGGGTACCAAGCAGTGACAGCGGAAGGAGAAACCCGAGGAAGTTGCAACACCAAGTCCATGGAGAGACTGTTTTTCCCTTTGGGAGGGATGACTCTATGGTGAGGAGTTAATGTTTCCAGGGCTGAGCGCTTGGGGATTGATCAAGGGGGAAGAGTTCATGGGATGCTACACATGAGCAGCACCCGGGCTGAGGGACAGCCACAGGGAGGGCTCTGTCCCCTGCTCCTCCTGCCACCACTCCAGGGTACAGCAAACAGGCGACATCTGAGCGTGGTGTGAGCGCCAGGTCCTGGGAGCAGAACTCACAGCACATCCATGGTTCCCATGGCAGCTGGACTGAAACCAACGCCCTGCTCAGGTGACATGCACCACGGGAACTCAGCATGCTCTGCACTTTGGGGTGCTGAAATATAAGATGATGATTCCTAATATGGGAATCATTCCTGCTCCTGCCAAAACTGCCAAAAGCCCCATGCAGACAACAGTGAGAACTTCTCTCACTTCCCACCACAGAACTCTCTCCTCTCTGGTGCTACAAGTAGTTTAAAGGAAGGATACCAGACTCAGGCTGTACATTCATCCAGCACAAATCTCCTCCTTAATAGCAAGTACATCCATATAATTATTCCGTTTGGCATTGTGAGAGAAGTCTCACGAGAAAAGAAGCAGAAATCATGTTCATTTGTAACTCTTACTCACACTGCAGTAAATGTTTCTGTTTAAATAAACCCAAGGATAAGCACTGGCAGGATCTCACTTGTGCCTACCTGGCGTGGATCTTCAGGTTGCTCGAGGTTGCAAACTGCAGGTTGCAGACATCACATTTGTAAGGCTTCTCCTCTCCATGGTGCATCCGGCTGTGGAACACCAGCTGGCACTTCTGGGCAAAGCCTTTGTCACACAGTTCACACCTGTATGGCTTCTCCCCTGGTGAAAAACAACACCCTCGTGCTCTCTGTATTTACATAAGAAAGCTTTGCAATCCATGACCTGACCAAAGCTCAGGTGTCTGTTCTAATACTTCTTACAAATAACATCTTGGAAAATCCTGTAATCAGTCCACTGAAGTGGAACGTGCTAGAACACAGAGGATAACAGGACTATTTTTTAACACATTATGTTGGGAGAAAAAGAAAAGGTAATAATGTTTTTAATAGTGCCAGCTTCTCCACATTATTTTAAGAATGCTGCCACTTCAGTTTCAGAGGTTTTGCTGGTTATGTCTGTTCAACATTCTGAATATTTAAAATGAACAAATCATCTGCTTTTTCTTGCTTGACCAACAGCAACAGGTCTTCAACATACAGTCTAGTGCTCCCTAATTTCTCATTAGTGTCTGGTGCAGAATGTTAGAGGAACTTCTTAATTTATGTCCTCTTAGTGGTGAATTGTCTCCTGTAAGGGCTTGTGCAACTCTGCAGTCCTGGAAAGTATAAAAATGCCTTTCTCTGCCACTCTGTGCAGTGCCCAACCAAATCTCATTGAGTAAATACGATACATAAAAACTTCAAAAGTAAAACTGAAAGACATCTAGCATGCCATCGAGCAACTAACAGCATGGAATTCTCTCCCCACTCTTGCAAAAGTTCCCAGGACAATACCCTCGGAGGTACAAAGTACAGCCAGCATTCCTACCAGCACTGCCCCTGAATCCTGCAATCAAGCTCCACCTCGTGTGTGAATCTTTGCTTAGACTCTGGCTGACAGAATTTGAAACTCTCTCCCTAGGTCACAGGAAGAGCAGGATGTTCTCCTGCAGCTGTCCCGCAACATCTCCTACATTTTCACAGCTTCCTGGAAAAACTGTGACCTCTGCTCACAGCTTTCCAAAGTACAGAACATATGGAAAGACAAGCACAGAACTTCCCCCCTGCATCTTCCCTGGCTCCAGCAATTAGTTGTTCATGATCTTTTTAAATCAGACATGCTGGATTAAAATGCTTAAGTGCTCCAAGTGATTTCTCTTGGATGCTTGATATGACACAAGCTCCTGGTAATGTTACTGAATGCAGAGATTATAACACCATCACACATTTCAGCTGCACATCTACGAAATAAAATCCTAAATTTTGCAGTAATTCAGCCAACCTCCTACCTTTTTTGAAGACCTATGGGACAAGTTATAAGACTGAATTTTTTCCCCACTCTTGTTCTCAAACATATATTAAGTTTTTGAAGTTTAAAAAAAAGCAACAGAAATTCTTGTATCAAGTACAGCTCGCTTTTCATGCTCTACTGAAGTGGTTTTTGGCAACTCCACCATTCTACAGAGCTAAAGGACAGCCAACTCTCTTAAGTCTTTCCAGAAATCAAGATGTTCAGACTAATAAAGTCCTCTCTAGCTATTGAAACTATGATTTAGTACTGAAAAATGCTGAAACATTCCATGTTATTTGGGTCTACCCCGGCATGCACAGCGACAGCAGACAAGATTTCAAGAGGAAGAAGTCAGAATCTTTCTAGTCCTGCATTCCCAGGCTGTGTGTGATCCCAGGCGTCCACAGCCCACGAGACACAGCCAGTGGCTTACCTGTGTGAGTTCTTACATGTGTTTTCAACTGGTTGCACTGGGTGAAGGCCTTCCCACAGAGCTGGCACACGTAGGGCTTCACCCCTTTGTGTATCCTCATGTGCCGCCGGAGGCTGCTGGCTTCGGAGAACACCTTCCCACACGTGTTGCACACCGGCTTGGCCTTGGAGAACTTCTGCTCCAGCTCCTCCCCCGAGCTCTCCAGCTGGTAAGTGCCCTTGTCAGTGGCTATGTTGGACATGCAGTGCTCCTTCAGGGCACAGCTCTGCTGAGGCTTGCCCCGTTTCTGTTTGGCTGCCATGCTCTGGGCCAGGATATCCTGTGCCGCCAGCGTTTCGCTCTCCACCACCGCTGCCAGCTGCAGCTCCGAGTTATCGCTGCCCTGGGCAGCCTGCTCTGTTATGTGGGTGGCCAGCTTATTTGCATCTAAAAACATCTCAAAGGATGTGTTCTCAGCCACCTCGTTCTGATAGTGCAGGGATTTATTCTCCGTGCTTTTGGGGGGGCTGAAATTCTTCTTTCGCTTTTTGGCTTGAGGAGATTTCTTTTCTAGAGCTGCTTTCTTTGCCTGGGGTGGAACCAGCTCTGCAGCAGCAGCATCCTCCTTCTCCTCCCGACTGTTGTAGTCTCGGAGAGTCAGGAGGCAGGTCTGCTGGTTCATTTCAACATTCCCAGTGATGCTGGATGTCTCTGTGGAAGAGGGATTAGCAATAAAAGCAAAGTCCTCCATCTTGATCTTGCATTTAGTGACCACTTCTTCTACTTTGAGATAGTCGGCAGCCTGGTGAATCTCCTTCACATTCCAGCTGCAAGGAAACAAAACCAGGGTGAAACATTCTGGACAAAGTAAACATTTGTTCTGCACCAACTTCATCACAAACAGACACAGAGCTGCAGAAGAGTTGTACTGTCAGAAAATGTAACTTTGAGAACACACAGCAACATTTAATTTCTCGGTGCTGTAGTGCCACAAGGCTCTAAAATGTCAATTATTCTTGAACTGCAGGTCTGTGTCTAGTGGGGTCTGCAGGCCCTCAGACTTGGGATTTTATTTCAGTTACATGCCTCTTGTAGAATTTTAAGATAAAAGTCAACTTGTAAGGTGCTGAGGCCAGACATGGGCTTGTTGGTCCAAACAGCTCAGAAATAACAGCACAAAGGGATAAAACACTGGAAAATAAAATACATAAAACACCATTTCATAAACTTCCTGGCCAAGGACTCAGGTAATTCACTGGCAGTGCATTCACCTCAGCACTTCCATGGCAGGTATTAATCTTGTTTTATAAAACGATTTGCAAACAGCCTTAATTCTGTATCAGCTGCACACAAAACCAGTAATACCAAGGAAATCCTCATTTAAACCACCACACTCTATTTTTCAGTTCCTGCCACACACGCCTTGATGGTTCAGGAAAAAATGATCTGGAAAAGGTGGCAACACATACCATGAGTGCATTTATGGATTTACAGCACTTAAAAAGAGACATTTGTGGTAAACAACCTCATTCTAACAATAAACAACTTGCCACGATTACTCCCCATATGAGTACAACTGTTTCAGTATCTTGTACTAAATGAGTGCAAGATGGACAGATGGACATCAAGTACCCTGCATTAGGTCTGCATTTGACATCAGACATTGAGAAAGAAGTAAAAATCCTGGACTGGGTACTTCTAAATATTCACACCTTCCTCATGAGAGATAAACCTCTTGCTGAGAAAAAGGCACTGCAAAGAAAAAATCATCCTCACTGTATGTGAAGCAGCATGACAGGCACAAAGTCAAAGCAATAATGAGGGGAAAGACTTTTTCTGTGACTCCTCTTGGACAATGTAATATAAAATTTTAAGTAATAGATCATGCAAATTTTAACAAATGTGACTCTTAAAACCGTGCCTATCCTCACCCATCCCTCAGACTTAGGTCTCTACCACATTCACAGTTCCTGTGTGTTTTTGGAAAAAAAGGACTACTGCAATTCACTCCCAGACACAAACTTGTCCTTCCCTCTCCTGGTAATCATGCAGAATGTTTAATCTCCCCCAAAGCAGACAGAAACAGCAGGAGACTGAAACTATCAGTCGGTGAAATATCAAACAACACACCTTTATTTTGGCACTCACATGTCATGGGGTATTTTAAAGCATACAAACAGATGAAATTCAAGTTGTCAATATTCATCACATCCACTGCTATTTCTTTCTCCAGACCTTATTACAAAAAATGCAGCTCTGCCTTATCACAAAGTTTATTTTCCTATTCCCCTTTAAGAGCATGTTACCTGTCAAGGTTTAAGTTTCCTGTGTAAATAAATTCCAGGAGCTTTTGGAATCCATCAGCTTTCACTTGAGTCTGATCCAAGACAACGTTGTTGTCAGATGCGTCTCTGTAAAAGGCCCCGAAATACTCGCTGAAGGAGGCAAGGACATTCCTGTGTGCTTTGAACTGGAATTCCCCGATGACCACGGTGCAGTCGCAGAGGAATCCGGCCTCTCGCTGCTTGTTCAGCCTCTCCAGCAGGTGCTCACAGTGATGGGAATACTGCATCTTGACAACGCGCTGCAGACACTTCCTAGCCTGCGAAAGCAAAAGATTAAAAAAAAAATCAATTTATGTGCAAGATTTAACCTTTTTTACCCCGTAACAGAGTCAGTGTCCGGACGTGCCGGTGCTCACTCAGGACAGCCGGGCAGCAGCAGGGACAGCGCGATGGTGGCTGCTGCTCGAGCCGGGGCGCTGCGGTTCCAGCGGGGAGCGCGGGCAGGGCCCGTGTGCTCCCGGCCCCCCGGGATTAGCCCGGCTCAGCCCGGTTCTTGTCACACCGTGTCACACCCGGCCCCGGGGAGCGGCCCGCGGCTCGGACCGGCCGGTGCTCGGTGCGCGGGGCGGCCGCTCCCGGGCAGCGGCACCGGGGCTGCGGAGCGGGCTCCGCTCGGTGCCGGCACGGCCCCGGGACCGCGGTTCGGCCGCCTCGGCAGCGGACAGGGAGCGGGACCCGCAACCCCGCGGCGCCCCCGGCCCGGCCCCGCCGCCGGACGGGACGGAGCCCGCAGCGCCCGCAGCGCCCTCCCCGGGTCGCCCGGCCCGGCCCCGCTGCCCCCCGTCCTCCCGCGCCCCCCGGCCCGGCCCGGCCCGAGGCCGCGGCCCCCGCGCACCTGCGGAGCGGAGAGAGGCTGAGCGCCGCGCTCAGGCCGCCATGTCCCGCTGACGCCGCCGCCGCTTCCGGGACGCGAGTTCCGGCCTCCGCGCCGGGGGCGGCTGGCGAAATTGCGGAATGATCGGGTTTAATATTCCTGCCAGGCCACGGCAGGAATAAAACAACTCTGGCACCGAGGTTGGAAAACCGAGAGCAGTGCTGCGGCCCGGTAGGAAGGGAAAAAAAGAGCCACCCTGGCTGGTGTTTCCGCCCGGTTTCGAACCGGGGACCTTTCGCGTGTTAGGCGAACGTGATAACCACTACACTACGGAAACGCCGCTGTTGGAAGGCTTTCCGGTTACACCTCTAATGCTATCGTACCCCGCCCGTCCCTGCTGTCCCCTTCTGTCTGTCCCCACTGTCCTGTTCTGTCCCGCTGTCCCGTCCCGTCTGTCCCCGCTGTCCCTTCCCCTCCTGCCCCGCGCTCAGCCGGGCCCCGCACTCCACGGACCCCGCCACACGTCCCCGGACCCGCAGCCTCCCCCTGCCTCCTGTCCGTCCCCAGCGCCGGCAGCTCACCCCAGTGCGGGGCTCTCCAGGTGTGCAGGCACTCCCCACGCACACCAGGAGTGACAGCAGCGGTGGGAACCAGACATTTCAAGGGAAACGGAATGTTTGGCATTGCTGGCGGGGCAGGGCGGTGATGAACCAGCGGACGGGAGAGCTGGGAGCTGGGCATGCGGTGTGTGACATCTGGCAGCATCTGCTCTCGCCACAGCTGGATCTGGAGAATGGGAAAGTGACTAATCCTCCTAGATTTTCCAGTGCACCAGGAACTGAAATAACAGCAGAAGCTACAGAAGGGAATGTGGTTTTGCCACTTTTTGCAGAGGTTAACATAAGTCAAACTCCAGCTGGTGAAAAGATACATCCTATAACCTTCTCTGAGGAGCTGAAGTAGTGGACTAGATTGTGAACTGGTCAAATGCATTCCCAGCATTTTTTCAAAACAAAACACATCATTGAAGTGTACACATTCCCAAAGTCATTTACTTGGGACATCCCCAATATGGCTTAACCAAAGATGTTGGTGAGAGGCCAGAGATGCTGATGTTGCCATGGAGACTGGGCTGGAAAAGTGCTTGTCCAGTACCACTGCATTTTGTTTGATTCCTATACTTATCCAGAAAAGCATGGGATTGTCACATCCTGGGGAAATGGGAGGCTGTGGGGAAGCAATGGCAGAGCTCTCCCCTGAGCAGGCTGCTGTGCCAGCTCTGTGTGTCAGCCCAGCTGTGCCCCCACTCTGCCTCCAGTCTCAGCACAGGCTGTGTGACAGACTCCAACCACGGTGTCACTCACTGTGACAATCAGTGATACCAATCCCCCCGGTATTTTCCAGTTTTTGGACTGGAGCTGTGAGCTCTCAGATCCTGTAACATGGATTGTGAAAGTGGCACTTCACGAGTCACAGGAACTGGGGAGCTGCTTGTAAAGACAGTAAAGAAAAATTATGTTATGTGTGCCTCAGGCTTAAGGAAAGGATGACTAAGAATCCCAGCAATGTGGAAAAAACTTTCCACCTTCCATGACATTATGGCCCAGAATCAAAGGTTTAATTGTCCTGAAAGCCTCTTCCACCCTCCTGATTTTGGCACAGAGTTGCCAGGGGTTGGCAAGTTCTGCTCCAAATCTACCATGAATGAATCATCATCATGTTGGCATAAAGACTTCCACTCCTGTCCTTTCTTGTATTTTCTGATGGCCTCTCCCCTGGAATTTAGCTGAATACATGGCCCCAGGTGTTGAGGTGAAAGTAAGAGTTTCTCCTAAGAAGACTTCAGTTTGGACATCAGAAGGATTGGATTTCAGTTTGGATTTCAGAAGGCTCCTTGCTGAGCCTAACACGGTGCACAGAAAATGTTTCTAAAATAGATGTATTTTTATAACAGATTTTCCTTAACACTTCCTGAAAAAGAAACCAAGATTGCAGCTACCTGGGAACAAGCAGGGAGAACCAGTAAAAATCATAACATCTAGCACAATTTATTCATTCTTAGTCAGTGAATACGTCTTTCTGAATAAATATAAAATACTTTTTTTAAGAGGCTCTTTACCAGACCAATCCTGCACAGCATATGTACAAGAGCTCTACACTATTATTTCACACTCCTTTGCACTTGCAAAACTCCTTGCTTTTCCATGGAAATCTCAGGGTGGAAAAGCAAACACACAAAAGCCTGAGAAACAGGAGGCAGCAGAGGGGTCCGAGGTGAATGCTCCAGGGAGCACCGCAGGGAGCATCCGCCCTGCACAAAGAGAGGTCAGGCAGGGATGAATAAAGATGAATAAAAACCATCATCCAACACAGCATGGGACGGGGAGGAGGGGGATGCTGGGGCTGGCACAGCCCTGCTTTGGGGAACGGTGCGAGAGGACTGGCCTGGCTCCTCACTCAGGGATGCTCGTGTGGGACGGGATGAACACGAACGCACGTTCAGGTCCCTGAATTCAGCTCACAAGCGCCAGGCACCAGCCTCCAAATCCTGATACCAGCCCCCAAATAATGATACCAGCCCCCAAATCCTGGTACCAGCCCCCAAATCCTGGCACCTGCCCCCAGATCCTGATTCTAGCCCCCAAATCCCGACACCCGCCCCAGAACTGCAAGCACCGCTTTCCAAACTCCCGCCACCAGCCCCCAAATCCTGCTGCAAGCCCCGGGCCCGGGTCGCCGGTCCTGTCCCAGCCCCGGCCCGCGTCTCCCGGGTCCCGACCCGTGGCAGGGAATGCGCGCTCCCCTCCAGGCGCGCTCCCCTCCAGGCGCGCTCCCCTCCCAGGCGCGCTCCCGCGAGCACGCGGCGCGTTCCAAACTCCCGCCACCCGCCGCGCCCCGCCCCTTTATCCCATCATAGCCAATGGCAGCGGAGGAGGGCACCTCTCTAACCAATGGGAGCGCGGAGGGCGTGGCCGGGCGGTATAAGAGCGCGAGCGCGGCGCTTTACGGCCCGTGCCGGGGTGGGCAGGCCCTATGGCCGACTAACCCTAATGGCGGCCGCGCCCCTCACCCTCGCCCGCTGTTTTACTCGCTGACTTTCAGCGGGCAAAGGAAGCGGCCCAGGGGAAAGGGGGTGGGGGGAAAAGAGTTCCGGCCTCAAAAAAAGCCAGCGAGGGGGATCCACACCCCGGCCCACCCTGGAGTCCCTGTCCCTTCTCCGAAACCGGGGATGCTCCCGCCCTCGCCCCTCGTGGAGGCCGCGGTCGGCGGGCTCAGCGCCGCTGCCGCCGCGAAGAGTTCGGCTCTGTCAGCCTCGGCGGCGGCCGGGAGCAGAGGGCCGGCGCGCCCACCCTGGGCAGCCGGGGGACCCCAGCAGAACAAAACGGGCGCGGCGCCGCTGGGCGCTGAGCAGCCGCCGCCCCCCGAGACGTGGGGTGCGCGGCCGGCGCCGCCCCGACACCCCCAAACCCCTCCGGCCCCCGGGGTCGGGGCATCCGGGCGGCTCCCGGCTCTGCTGGGCCGGCCGGGGATCCAAAGGGAGCCCCCGAAGCGCCGGTGCCCGCCGAGATTTGCCGTGCGCTGCCCTCCGAGTGCGGGCGGCGGGAGGGATGCGCTCACCGCAGCACAGATCTTATCTAGGAGAGCCCCGCGGTGATGGAAGCTCAGGAATGCTGAATTTCATTCAACGAGTTCAAGAAATGTTGGGTTTCGACTTCGGCGGCGAGGAGCTGAATTTGTGAAAACTGAAAGACAGAGGAGCTGGGGACAAATACTTCGCTGCAGTGAGGAGCAAGGATTGTGAGGGGAAGGTGCTGTGGCTTGTCCTGCCTTAGCAATTCCTCTCCCTGCGCCCGGGCTTTGGCACTGCCGTGAGGAAACACTGCAATGTGTGCCAGGGGCGCAGCACCGAACCTGCCTGCTTTGTGCCAGGGGCACAGCACCCGACCTGCCTTTTAATGCCAGGGGCACAGCACCGAACCTGCCTGCTTTGTGCCAGGGGCACAGCACCGAACCTGCCTCTTTAGTGCCAGGGGCACAGCACCAAACTTATCTTTTAAATTCCAGAGACACAGCACCGAATCTGCCTGCTTTGGGCCAGGGGCACAGCACCGACCCTACCTTTTTAGTGCCAGGGGCGCAGCACCAAACTTGCCTTTTTAGTGCCAGGGGGCACAGCACCAGACCTGCCTGCAGAGTGCTGAGCCCCAGCACTGTCCCCATGATGGATGAATGCCCAGAGCCCATCCTGTGCCATCACCATTTCAGGAACCGGCTGCTCAGTTACCTCTGCTGTTAGTTTTGACCATAGCTAAACATTTTTGGTATTTCTGGCATCAAGCACTTAGAGAAGGTTCACCAGACATGCGGGCACACGTGTGGGATGCAGACACAGCCCTACAAACTGGTCATAGGCATCATCAGTGCTCATTTACCAATGCTCCGCTAATATCCTGAGCGTTTGACCAGTGCCATCTTGTGGCCTTCTGGTTTTTTTCTTTGCATAGAGGATGGAAGTGAACTTGAGTACTTAATTTTTTAAATTCTGTTTGAAAGAAACCTTCTGCTGCCAGAAGAAACTGAAACAGGAGAGCCCGACCCCACACACTTGAAGATATGTAGGGCCTTTCTGGTACTGGAATCTGAATTTGCTTAATAAATCTGATCCAGCTAAAACTGGTGTTGGCTCCGCTGATGGTAATGTTCTTTCTTAGTTCAAACAATTGTGTTTTCACTGTTTTATCTTGTTTCCAAGCAACAGCTTTCACTTAGCATCAAATACTTCATTTCAGACTCTCAACTAAACATGCAGAGCCAAAATATTTAGTGTGCTTAGGACAAGGTTTTTCAAATGAAACTCGACTTACAATTGTCTCTCTGAAAAAAAAAAAGTCTTCTAAATATACCTAGTTTAGTGGTATTTTTAAATGATTTTTTTTTTTAGCTGCCCTTTCTGAAAGGGGTGGTAAGCTGAAACTGCCGAATTTCTGTAGTCATAATAAAGTATGCGCTCTGCAGATCCACACGTCGGAGAGGAAATGCTAATGAACTGAGAACGTGGTATACTTT